ACCGGGTGGTAATATTTTCAAACCCCAAAATGTTACCACCGGGGTTTCTGATGTTGTGTCATTTACGGTAAATTTCCTGGGGCAATCGCCGCCCACACGCACACGCAACGCACCTTTCTGCCCGTGCTCCATCGGTCTCCGTCGCACGCCTGGCGGCAGTCCTCTGACGAGCAGCAGCTCTCGCCCTGTCAAGCTGTGGGCTGCCTTGGGACTCCCTCTCCTCGTGGCTTTGTCTGCGCCGTGAGTCTGTGTGCGCCTCCGCCTCACGGAGAGATTTCGGGTCAATCGACCGCAACGGAAGTCTATTCATGCAATAGCCATGCTGGCTTTTTTATCGCTCGCTGTGGCTGTCTCTCGCTGTGGCTGTGTCCGCTCTGCCCGGTGTGCTCTGACCGGTGTGCGTGGGTCGCCGTGCCCGCTAAGCGCGTGTTCTGTCTACACTGCAACAACATCGTGTGTTCTGTGTTCTGTCTGCTGACCCCCCCCCTTTAATACCAAGTAATGTACTGCTGTACTCTCAAACCTAGTTTAAGCGAACACACGCACAAACTATTTTTTTCTGCATGGAGCCTATTATTGCGGTGAGACCTCAGGCGAGATTAGAAATCTCGCTTCGCTCGAATAAGAAACCCTACCACACTTCTACTTACATAATGTCGGCTTTGTGGCACACGAGAGAATGATCAGCAAAATAAGCACCCCAACCTCCGCAAAACCTAGAGGCCCTAAGTAGTATATATAGTAGAAAGTGCGGGCGTGTCCGTGTTGTAGTGACGGAACCACCCCTTGCTGAGCTCTGTTTCTTTCAAACCACATTCACCTTGCCGTTGTATTTCGATAGCAATCGGGGCCTGTCTGACCGAGTTTTCTCAAGTGAGTGCGGCGGGCATTGTCCAAAAAAATACAACATACAACAGCGTTATTCTATGTATGTACAATTGTTTCATTCTTGTTGAGGCAGATCTACAGTGTTCGTCGAGATCTCTATCCATGGGAGCTCAGGACAATCTATAGCAGCAGCAATGGATTCATATGCATTGTACATGTGTTGTTTGCGTGTTGCGATCGATCGATGTGCCTGCGTTTCCACGGATTCTGAGAGCATAAAAACAGTGGTATCTCCCCTCCCTGCAGGTAACAGGCACCGCAAGGCAGCAGTGTGATGGCCCTCCTTCCCCTTGTGTACAGTCGACGGTCCTCAATAGCGGTCCTCCACAACGGTGTACCCTCAATAGCGGAATGCTCTCTATTGCGGCGCCGAAATCGCTTGGCACAAGTACATTTCAGCATTCATACAAACCCTATCAAGAATAGTGGCACTGCCCTCTACATATAACGGCACTACAACCTCTCGTCACTACCTACCGCTATTTCATTGGTCAAGCACCCTCGAGGCAGTTACATTTCCCGGTCGCCCCTGTGGTCTAGTGGGAAACCTCGCCGCCTGCCAAGGCCGAGGTCATGGGTTCGAGTTCCGACAGAGTGAGTGTTTTCTCACTATTGAAATCCTGGTCTCCGTTGGAAGCGACGCGCTGCAAAGCTCGTTGGTAGTAAACTTGATCTACTTCACAAGTCGCGAGGGAAGGGATTGCTGTACCCTTCTCGCGATAAAAATATCTCAGGCAGGAACCGCCGGAGAGGGTCCAACCCCCCCCCTCCTGTGTGACCCCGGTTGGGTGGTCTAGCTAGTAGAAGTGGAGAATAGGGGCCAGAGGGGTAGACGACTGGATCGAATGACGAGAGAAAAAAAAAAATAGCGTTTACAACTATCNTTGCTGTACCCTTCTCGCGATAAAAATATCTCAGGCAGGAACCGCCGGAGAGGGTCCAACCCCCCCCCTCCTGTGTGACCCCGGTTGGGTGGTCTAGCTAGTAGAAGTGGAGAATAGGGGCCAGAGGGGTAGACGACTGGATCGAATGACGAGAGAAAAAAAAAAATAGCGTTTACAACTATCTCTGGAAGTGAAAGCACCAGAAAATAAATTGAGCCATACGCAGCTGTCATCCGTACGCAAGGAAGTAAGCACAAGATGCCGAACACGCTTAGCAGGATGCAGCGCACCCTTCATGCGACTCGCCAGAACCTCACGGCGCTTCGCGCTTGGCGATGTGAGAGCCTGGTCCGGTGAGAACCCGGCGTGTTTGTTTGGGGTGTCAGCGCGTGTACTATGTTATCACGCTCGCGGGCTCTTGTCGAGAGCGTGTTGCACAAAGGAGTGACTCAAGTTCCTTGATAAACTATTTACGAGTGACCAGCATGAGCAGCAGGCAAGAAGGACCTGCTGCTGCACACACGTCTGCATAGACCCAAACCTATCATATCTGCGTACCCCCTCGGAGATCTCGGAGATCTGTATCCTGCCGAGTACATACACAAACAGTGTTCCGTCCCGGCANAGCATGAGCAGCAGGCAAGAAGGACCTGCTGCTGCACACACGTCTGCATAGACCCAAACCTATCATATCTGCGTACCCCCTCGGAGATCTCGGAGATCTGTATCCTGCCGAGTACATACACAAACAGCCCCCCTACTCGGTACGAGATACGATCTACGAACCTTCCGTACATATCGCCAGGTAAAACGGCAACAAAACCAAAACCATTCATCTNCGCCAGGTAAAACGGCAACAAAACCAAAACCATTCATCTTTCATATTCACAAATCATCTCAACTTCCCGATCTATTGAATATTCAAATTTCAAGTTACCATTCCTCCTTAATCCACTACTATGTATGTTTGAAGTTCACTAGAGTCTTAACAAATCATCCCTCTCGAGAAAATGTCGTCACCAAATTCTCAAGCAGCCAAAAACCAAGAATCATCCTTAGAAAAATACTCCGCAAAGATCAACATTACATCAGAGTCACGTCATGAAGACTTTGGACGGACAACTCCGGAAAAGCGTGTCAACTATTACTTCGGACAAGATCCTCGCACAAAACCATGTTTCAGCTCATTGACCAATCTCAAATAAGCTTCGGAAGCACATAGGCCTCAACCATGTCTTACCAAAATATGCCAATTCCTTCCTTCAATATATCATTCAGAAAAACCAAAATACCAAATACGGCAAAAGAGACAAAGGTTAAAAACCCGGCGCATATTTAAACGCCAGAGGAAACTTTCACCAATTAAGCCGTTTCTCAAACAAAGAGACAACATCAATTTCTTAGCAGCCCCTGGCCACAATCTCTCCCAAAACATAAAAACTTAACAGCCCTCCTGCTGCAATAACTCCCGAAACAGAAAATGCAAGCCATCCAGTATTTCGTCTGGATTGCAAGAAACAGAATACAAAACATATACCGATTGACATCTCCCCTTCAACATATCTCCGACCATGGAACTCAATCCCTCCTACAGCAATACATGCAAGGCACAACTCTCGAATACTAACAACGAGAAAACAAACAAATATCATGAACTTATCTCCGAAAGCCGCAGGTAAAACGCGGAATCGGAAACAAACAAGAAATTCTCCTCATTTTCCGCAGGTAAAACGGGGAAAACGTTTACAAAATGAACAAAAACCAAACCCGAACGTCTGCTAGAACGCTGCTTGTACTGCGACGAGGATCATGGCATCACAATCACATTCATCCCCCCCCATGATTTTCGACAGCAGTGCTAGCAGTGGTCCAACGATGTCAACTGAACCATTCGGCGTGCTGAATTCTTAGATTATCCAAACTCAATGCCCAACATATGAAAATCACAATGTAACCAACCATGCGCATCGCAACTCTAAGTCTACGTCGACACAGTTCTCAAACTCATGGTTTTCGACAAAAAAAAAAAAACCAAACCTAGAAATAACCCAAACACAATAATTCTCACAAACGTGCCTGAACCGCGCGTAGATCCAGAGCTGCGTCGTTGCAACCATCGGTCATCCCCCACTGGAGCTCCCGATCACGAAGTCTCTTACTTCCTCCTCTGGAGATCCCGATCACCAAGTCTCTCACTTCATGCCGCACACTTCTGCCACGATCGATCCTCCCTTCCTGGCATTACCCCCCATCGTCCCGCACGACGTAGATGCCATTGCTCACGGTCGGATGGGCGCCGGGATGCCTTGCACCGGCGGACAACGCCCCGATGCCGCCGTCACCGCTGCCGTCGCTACTGTTGCCACCTTCGTCGCCATGGCCCAACCAACAGCTATCCTCATCGCACTCGTCCTCCGGCTCTTGCGCTGCTGACGCTTTAGCCGCAATTCCCTGCGTCCCAACCGGCTCCCACACCGCCGCCGCGGGCAAGACTCTGCTGCCGGCGGTCGCCGCTCTCGCCGCCGGTGCTGCCGTCCATGCCGTTGCTCCCGCCGCGAGTGCCTGCGCCCCGGCCGTCTCCCCTGCCGCCGCCGCGGGGAAGATTCTGCTGCCGGGGGTCGCCGCTCTCGCCGCCGGTGCTGCCGTCCATGCCGCTGCTCCCGCCGCGAGTGCCTGCGCCCCGGCCGTCTCCCCTGCCGCCGCCGCGGGGAAGATTCTGCTGCCGGGGGTCGCCGCTCTCGCCGCCGGTGCTGCCGTCCATGCCGCTGCTCCCGCCGCGAGTGCCTGCGCCCCGGCCGTCTCCCCTGCCGCCGCCGCGGGGAAGATTCTGCTGCCGGGGGTCGCCGCTCTCGCCGCCGGTGCTGCCGTCCATGCCGCTGCTCCCGCCGCGAGTGTCTGCGCCCCGGCCGTCTCCCCTGCCGCCGCCGCGGGGAAGATTCTGCTGCCGGGGGTCGCCGCTCTCGCCGCCGGTGCTGCCGTCCATGCCGCTGCTCCCGCCGCGAGTGTCTGCGCCCCGGCCGTCTCCCCTGCCGCCGCCGCGGGGAAGATTCTGCTGCCGGGGGTCGCCGCTCTCGCCGCCGGTGCTGCCGTCCATGCCGCTGCTCCCGCCGCGAGTGCCTGCGCCCCGGCCGTCTCCCCTGCCGCCGCCGCGGGGAAGATTCTGCTGCCGGGGGTCGCCGCTCTCGCCGCCGGTGCTGCCGTCGATGCCGCTGCTCCCGCCGCGAGCGCCTGCCCCCCGACCGTTCCCCCCGCCACCGTAGTGGGGAAACCACCATCAACGGTCGCCGCTCCTGCCGCAGGTACTGTTCCCCATGCCACCGCGCCAGCTGCAAACACGGGGAGCATCGCCTCCTGTCGATGCCTTTGCCTCCTCCAGCGTCGTCGCTTCCGCTGCTGGTGCGGCATAGCGTCGTTGCCATTCGCGTTGAGACCCTCTCCGTCACCGACGGGCACGTGCTGTTGCATGCGGTCGATTGTGCAACACATGCGGCGCCGATGGCCATACTCACCGCAGGCAGTGCAGTTGCCTTCAAAGCGTCGTGGCGCATTGCAGTCGCCAAGTGAGTGTCCATGCCTCCCGCATCTCACGCACTGATGAACGACACCAATCAGAGCACCCTGCGGCGAAGCTGACTCCTCTTGCGGGTACACAGCGTTGCGCCCACAGTCATAGAGCCCCCCAGATCCCCACGTCGGGAAGTTAGGAGGTGGGTAATGTGCAGGTGGTGGCTGAGGACGAACCCACTGCTGCTGCTCCCGCTGTTGCCGCCACCGCCGTTGTAGTCCCCCCTGACCGTGGCCACCATGACCGGACCCAAGCCCACCAACCGTCACCGCTGCCGCCGGTGCCGCCTGCGCTTTGCCCAATTCCTTCATCATGACCTTGTTGGCGTATGCCGCGCGAACAACGTTTTCCACCTTCGCTCGGGAAATGGTGGGGTCGGCCAGGATGGACTTGCGTTCGATATCGTACTCGTGCGCAAGCTGGCGGACAATGATGTGCACGATAGCCCGCTCAGATTTTTCGATGCCGACAGCTTTCATGATGTTGATCACTCCGTCTACTCTGGCGAAGAAGAGTTTCGGGTCCTCGCCGGGATGCATCTCAATCGTCTCAAGTCGCCTCACAAGCAACGTCTTCTCAGCGTCAAGAGTAGGCAACAGCCATTCGTGGATCACGCTCCACGCCTCAGGGACGCAGTCGCAAGCACCCAACCGTTCTTCAATGTCCGTGCCGCAGGTTGCTTCCAACATGTACCCCCACGCCCGCTGGTGAGCTGCCACCAGATGTGCACCGTGAGTCTGGTTCAGGTATGTGCGATCCAGACAACTGATAACGTTGACATAACCAGTAGATGGCATGTGGTCAAGGGTTCGCTCCAAATCCTCGACAGCCAGGAAATTCCGCATTCTCCGAAGCCAGCTCACGGCCTTCGTCGAATTCGTCGGGATTTTGGGCGGGTTGCGACTGCTGCTGTAACCGCTCAAAGCACAATTTCCGTCATTTTTCATGCTCACCCGTTGTGTACCGAGCCCAGCTCCACCAGCTGCCCCGGCAGTCGTTCTTCCGGCAGCCATTGCTCCTGCCGGTGCATCGTTCTTCTCCCTTAGATGCCCATATTCCATCTCCGTCCAGTACTTCTCCCACATGTTCTTCCTCCGCCTAATTACGCCGCAAAAAAAAAAATGCGGCACGATGTATCTCCTACTGCTGTGTCTTGTAGCTAGACTTATTCTTGTTCACGTAACTGGATCTCCTTGGCACGCTTACCGCTGCTGCCCTTGTATTCCAAATGCTGTCCCTGGATCTCCTTGGCGCGCCTGTCGCGGCTGCCCTTGTATTCCAAACTCTTACCCTGGATCTCCTTGGCACGCGCGGGCAAAAACCGCCCTGCTGCTGCTGCCCTCGTATTCCAAACCCTGTTCCCTGGATCTCCTTGGCGCGCGCGGGCAAAAACCGCCCGCTGCTGCTGCCCTTGTGTTCCGGTGCCTACCTCCCGAACCTTTCCCTACCGACGTCAGCTGACTCCACGATATCGTGTTTGGGGTGTCGGCGCGTGTACTATGTTATCACGCTCGCGGGCTCTTGTCGAGAGCGTGTTGCACAAAGGAGTGACTCAAGTTCCTTGATTAACTATTAACGAGTGACCAGCATGAGCAGCAGGCAAGAAGGACCTGCTGCTGCACACACGTCTGCATAGACCCAAACCTATCATATCTGCGTACCCCCTCGGAGATCTCGGAGATCTGTATCCTGCCGAGTACATACACAAACAGTGTTCCGTCCCGGCATTGTAGGGATGCGAGGTCAATGGACTAACGACCACGGCATGCACGACTATGAGTTTGAGTACCCCCCCGCCCCCCCCGTACCCTCTCAATATCCCCCTGCTTGTTTAAATGGGGGTTGGTTAGCGAAAACGGTTGTGCTCACACTCGCGCAACTCCGGCGCCCCCCAGTTGTCAGTAGCGGCGTGTTGGCGTATGTTCGCCTGCAATATGACAGACGTCATTTCATGGCCATACGGTTAGAGCGGCAAAGGAAAATTCAAGAACCACACACATACACCGGTTGGCCACAGATGAAGACCTTGAAGAACGCTTTCGGTTTTAGAAAGCACTGAGATCAGACTGGCGTCTTTCTTCGTATCAGCCCGTCTGCGCTGTCGATGGCGAGGATAAAGACACGCCGCGGGCAGTCGGCAATCGTCGCTGCAAAAACGAGAGCCTAGCGCAATGTGCTTACACACGCAGTTGGGGCAGTCGGCAATCGTAGCTGCAACGAGAGCTTACCACAAAATATGAAACACACACGCACGCAGGGGACGCCGGCAGTCGTTGCCGCAACAACAATAGCTTAGCAAGTTGCACATGTGGTCAATGGCCACGTCTACTCGCCCTTGACCCCCCCCCCTGCCCTTGTCTACCGGGTGTATCCATCGCGGCTGCCCGGAGTAGCGGTAGAGACCATGTTTCCGACTGAGCGTTGTATGAATGTTCTCTTCCAGCCACCCCGTACCAGCGTGAGTGATTGAGCGCAGCCTGCGTGCTTCCCTATCCACGATGATGGTGCCGTGACGCGAAGTGTACCGAGTCGTCACGAAGGGCATGCTCAATTCCGTCGGACGCTTGCATGTCGGCGACATCGGTGCCCACAACCGCTACCTGTCCTCGCCGCTCTATTAAGGGCCATCGCTCTTCCACGTTGCTGCCTTTCAAATGTTTCCACACTCGCTACTCCGCTAAGCGGCAATGTTTTTCTTCCACGTTGGTGCTGCTGTCCTGAACCGTTCCCACGAACCAACCAGCGGGATCATATGGAGCCTGTGTTGGCTTGTGGAAGACATGATGGTGACGGTCTGCTGGGCCGGGAGAAATCTCGAGGACCTGATCAAGACCGTCAAGTTCGTCGAATTGGCTTCTTCCCATATGCTGGCCCTCACGCACCTCGCCATCTGCATCAACCTGGCCCTCGTCGTCTTGGTGAGATCCTGACTGTAGCATTGTCTTGAGACATTTGCTTATACACCGCTTTTTTTGGCAGCACAATGCTGCATAAAAGCTGCATTTCTGCAACTCTTCTTGCAGCTTTGCTAATGTGCGCCCAGTATTGGAGCTCAAAGTTGCACGAAACGTTCTGCAACTTTTTTCCGGAGCGAAAAGCTGCAATCTGGCCGGAAAGTTTTGCAGCTTTTCTCGAGTCGGGAAGGGGCGTGAAAAGCTGCACGGCGGAAACTAGACTATACGATTCACGTCAAGCTGCTACCCCTACCGCACACGCAGACCCTCTCCAGCATCGATCGTGGGAAGGCTGTGATCACCGATATCTCGACGAATACTGAACGACTTGCCTCATGAATGGTATCTGGAAGGAGGTGATGCCATGGGCTGATGGGCAATGACAAGGTTTGAGGCCATGAGGTGCCGAATGCGCCGGGAAAAACGTTTGTGCTGTGCAAAACCGTCAACGGCCACGAGCGGCTAGTTCAAGCTCGATGTTGTCGACCACCACGGGATTGGTTGTCCACCGATAACTTTCCCATGGAGGAAGCAACAGCCATAGCAAGGCCGCTCGGTGGGAGGTAGCTCTCTGCTCCATCTTTCATGTCCAAGGTTTGGTGCCGTGGGGTGTCGTGCGCATCGGGAAAAACGTTTTGATCGATTCCAAAGTACCTACGTCAGAGAGCGGTTGGTTCAAGTTCGCAGGGATTGTGTGCGCATGGTTCGGTTTTCCAGCGATAACTTTTCGAAGGAGAAGGCAACAATAACAGCAATGCCACCCCGTGGGAGCTCGTTCTACCCAGCATCTTTCGGGTACCAGGTTAGATGCCTTAGCGTATTTTGAGTGTGGAGAAAAAAGGTTGCAACTACCCTCTCCCGCACGCTCTGACCGGTTCTTTCGCGGTGCAATATGAAAGGCGCGTGCCTTCTTCTCGCCGTCGCAAAACAAACAGATCACGCCTCCGCATTCCGCCAGTCCCGTGAACAAAACTTTCTTCGTCCCATGATGAGCGTGAACAAAAAGTGATACTGACAAAGTTCGCGAGCAAGGATGCAGAAAAAGTGTGCAACTTTTTTTGCAACATCAAGGAGCCATAAAAAGCGGTGCAAGAAACACCCTGCCAACATGTGTTTCCAACATCTCGTCACAGCGATTAGGTGTCTAATTCTTGTATCGTCCCACTCCGTATATGCGCACGAAGCCGGAACGTGCCCTTCAGTTAGTATCCAACATCTCGTTTAGCGACTAGGTATTTACTTCGTGTATGTTGCCACCCCGTACATGTGTACGAAGCCGGAGAGTGCACTTCAGCTACATATACATGTGTGTAATGATACGTGATCTTGTCGTTTTTCCCGAAGATAGGCCAGCCACTATTCGTATCTTTTTCGGCCATCTTCCACGCACGGGCCGTGTACATCACCGTACCCGGTAACAGCTTGATTTCCCGCACTCGGGGATGACGGTTATCTTTCACGGAACACCGTATGTAATAGGTGTAGAGATGGCAGACGGACGTTAACAGCTCGATTGCTCCACCAACAAGATTGTCTGTACCGTACCGTATACCGCACCCTGGTATTCCGCAAGAGTCGGAGAGATGGCACCCCCTCTTGACCGACTTTCGAAGCTCGACAGCTCCACAAACAAGGAGATGCCGAACGAGCTCTATACTTTTTCGGAAAGACGAGTCTTTTCTTTTTTGTTCTTTCAAGCCCATCGCTGTTGGCGTTGGCATAGCCTTCGTTGTGGAGCAATCGAGCCTTGAAAGTCGGTCTATGGCGGGGGTGCCATCCCTCCGACTCTTGCGGTACTGCCGAAAACGCCTCCTTTTGGTGCTCCATCCTCTTGGTCGTGGAGTAATCGAGCTTTGAAAGTTCGTCCCGAGGTTGTGGTGCCCGATATCATTTCGTGTTCTGACCCCCCCTTGCCGCGGGGCGCTTCATGCGTGGCTGATTTTCCCACAGTTTTGGCTTCCCAACAATTGGAAGTAAGCAGGGCCCAAACGAGTCGAACGTGGGTTCCAATTTTCTTCACTTTCCTACTCTTTTGCCTTCGAACCCGCTCTGCAAAGCTCACTGCTTGGGGAATAGATTCCGAGGCTTTAAGAGAAAACTGAGCCATGTATACAACGCGCCTGGCCCGCACGCTCTTTCTACCAGATGGCGTATGTCGTCTTCCACCCACCTGGGTGCATACCATCAGGTGTATTGAAGAATGTACTAGCCGAGTCCTTCAGACTAGTCTACAGTCGTGGTCCCGGTTTACCGGTTCCCTGTTCAGCGGGATGGATTAGCTGTCCCAAAATCTCGCGTCACGGGTGCACTGCCAGTCCAGTTTATCGGCGATGCCCTCAGTAGCCGTCATACTTTTTTGTGACACTGTTGTTGTTGTTGTTGTCTTCACATTAATCTCGTATCAGTTGCTAATCCCAAAATCTCGGTCGGTGGTTACAAAAATGCTAGAGCCATCAGAAGATCTAAAGAACACGCACACTATTATAAGGGTGCACAAGCCCGAGGAGGTACACCTGCAATCCCTGCAGCACATTTGCGTGCTCACAACTGAACTACACGCCCACACACTACAATTCGACTACAGCAGCAGCATCACCCCCCTTGTCCCGCACTCAACCAAAACGAAGGTGTGTCGACTACATCGTACTGCTGTCTGAAGTGCTGTTTGTACAAAAATAACACCATGGTGCATGGTACACAAGCTCGGGGCATGCAGCTGCTGTCTGAAGTGCTGTCAGAATGAGTCCGTGGACATACAATGAAGAAGAACAACCAACCAAAGCCACCATTAAAATTGACAATCACCCGAATCCATCCAGATCATCTGTGTCTTGTAAACATTAACAGTGACTAGGAATCGTTCCACATTAAAGGGGTCTTCCACGATGTACGTACACAATTAAGGTACCCGGGTTGTCCGCGCCAACTCTGCCGCGTCTCTCTACAAAACCAGTGACGTCATCACACACACAACACCCATACTCAAGAAAAAAAGCGGAAAATAATTGACAACACAAGAGATGTTTGTCCGTGCGTCACGGTTCGATGCTGTCCGCATGCTCCGTTCCGCTGCTCCGGTGCCGCTGCTCCGGTGCCGCTTCTCCGGTGCCGCTGTGGCCAGTCCTACAACGACCAAACTCGACCCGCTCCGCTTCATACACGCTCTCGTCGTTGTCCTCCCCAGTCGGTTCCTGGATTTCTCCCTCGTTGCACTTTGGGTTATTGGTCTGAAAATTCTCCCGCCGAAGGGTCAACCAGCCCAATCAGCTCGTCACCACCTGTCCCCTCCTCCTTTGATGGCGAAACCAGGATACCGAGACAGTACAGCTCCCTCTAGCAAACCTGGGGCCGTGTACATGATGCTTGTTCACCTTTCTGATGGCGTCTGCCTCCGCGCACAAAGATGAGATGGGCATTGCTGCCTACATCGACGGCCTGGAGGCCCGCGCATGTGCACCTTTGTACCTGACGCACCAGTGCCAACCCAACTCCACCACTACGCACGCCTCGCGGTGGGTGCGCCGCAGCAAGAATGTATCGCCCCCTTGAGGGTTGATCTGGCCTCCTCGCTAGAAAGACCCCCCCCCTCGTTATGGGTGGTGTTTGCCATCGGGGTTGGGTTTTCGTCGCTTGGCAACGACGTTGTAAAACAAGCCCCCCTCTCGGTGTTTGCCATCGGGATTGGGTTTTCGTTACTTGGCAACGACGTTGCAAAACAAGCCAATCCACTTCGTGAACTCGGCATCCAGGTTACCGT